ATCACAAGAAGCAAATGTTAATGCGATCGCTTGTGAATGCAAGGGACCTTTTTTAATAAGTTTATTAATTATAAAGATTATCATTCTAAATTGGGAGGAGCTCTTATCATTATCAGTTCTAAGCCGATTTTATGTATTGACAATGGCTTTTTTTCAAAGGTAAAATTATAAGCATATTATTGCATATTTAAAAAACAATAGTAATGCAGAATTTGCAGGATTCGAAAATTTGATTGTCTCATTATTGTTATTTTTGATAATAAATTTTATAAATCCTATTGTTTGACAATGATACATACCAGTAATATACAGAATTCATAGGATTTACAAAATTTATTTATCATACTAATTTGAAAACAGTGATAAGAAAAGATGAATAATTTTTTTAAAACCTGTTTTGAATAAGTATATATATATATTTTTTTTATAAATGTTTCTTTTTTGCTATCTTTACAAGTTTTTTTTTAAATTAAACAAGTTATTTGATAAACCAAGCCCCTAATTACTTGTAACTTTATATAATTACATGTATCAAGTTACTGTAATGGAAGATAATGTTTCTGATTCAGCATCAGAAATTCCTAACACTAATGATTCTGATCATGATACTGATACTTATACTAGTCAAACCTAAAAAAAAAGAGGCCATCCAAAAAATATATTTTCAGATAATCATTTTAAAGAAATTAATCCACATGATGACGGTCATAAAGGTTGGGAATGTATATACTGTAAAGAAAAAAATTCACGTGCAACATATACAAATATGAACACACACCTGGCTTTAAATTGTAAAAAAGTTCTACTTAATATTAAACAGGAGCTTTTACAAAAATTTCCTGTACCAAACCAAAAAAGAAAAACTAAAACAGAAATCGATATTATTACTGGTACCCAATCACGAATTGATAATAAATTTCAAGTTGTAAATAAATTAGATGCAGGGCAAGAAGAATTATATTACAGAGCATTAACTCGATTTTTTGTATGCTGTGGAATTCTTTTTT